TTGTTTATCCATTCTTCAGTTGATGGGCACTTTGGCTGTCTCCATCTTTTTGCTATTGTAAATAGTGCTGCTATAAACATTGGTGTGCATATATCTTCTCGTGTTGTGGCTCGTTTTTCTTGTCCACCAACAGTCTTTTGTAGTCAATCTAGGCTTTTACTATTGGGCAGTTTAGTACCTTTCCAGCCTCCACTCATTATCCAATTGCAAAACCACTTCCACATTTTAGGATCTGTTAGAGCAGTACCCCACTCCTGGTACCATATTCTATTTTAGTTATCTAATTCTGCTATAAAAAAAAATGACACAAGGATTTGTTATTGTTTTTATTAGGTGCCATCAAGTTGGTTCCAACTCATACTGACCTTATGCACAACAGAATGAAACACTGCCCAATCCTATGCCATCCTCACAAATATTATTATGTTTAAGCCCACTGATGCTGCCATGGTGTCAATCTCTCTCATTAGGGACCTTCTTCCTTTTCCCAGACCCTCCACTTTACCAAGTACCATGTCCTTTTTCAGGAACTGGTCCCTCATGAAAACATGTCCTAAGTATAAGACTCTTGCCATACTGGCTTCTAAGGAGCACTCATGCTGTACTTCTTCCAACACAGATTTGTTGGAATATTGATGCTTTCAATATTCAAATGCTTGATTATTCTCTGTTTTGCCTTGATCCTTATCCAACTTTCACATGCATATGAGGCAACTGAAAATGCCATGGTTTGGTCACTAATGCCTGTTAGTAACATTATGAGAGGTGCAAACATGACTTTATGATAGTCTTTATTCAGCGATTATGTATGCTTTAAGGAGCTATGTCCAAATGCAAGTTGACAAGGAGTGCATTGTAATAGTTAAGGTTTTGTGTCAACTTGACTGGGTAAATAGTTTGATAATTGAGATGTAATCCTCTCCCATGGTGTGATTTGATGTGGTAAGGTGCACCTTAGTCCTCAAACTGATATCTTCACTCTATAACACTTTAATGAGATCTTGTGCAGCAGATTTGCCTAATGCAGTATGTTGTTTGATTTCTTGATTGCTGCCTCCATGAGTGTTGATTGTGGATCCAAACAAACTTAAGTCTTTGAAAACTTGGATTTTTTTCTCCATTTACTAATCCAGTTGTGAGGGTTTTTGTTTTATTTATATTGAGGTCCAACCCATACTTAAGGATGTGGAACTTCATCAATAAGTATTTTAACTCCTCTTCACTTCCTCTGCACATGTATCATCTGTATGTCAAAGGCTGTTAATGAGTCTTCCTCCAATACTGATGCCATGTTTCTCTTCATAGAATCCAACTTCTCAAATTATTTGCTCACCATAAATAAGTAGGATGAAAGGGTTCACCCCTAACACACATATTT